GCTTTGCTTCTGCGTAATTATGATAAGCTATCTCGTATTTTTCATGTATATAAGTAATCACATGATTTTTCTCCAGCAGTTTGGAATAAATGAGCACGTGTTAATTTTTTCAAGGACCACAAATTGCACCCGCCCTACGGGCTCGTGCAATTTACTCGTGCTTATCTATTCCAAACTATTCGAAATCATGTGATTACCTATACTTATATGCTTTTCAGGGCCAAATAAACAACATATTGATAGGAGGATTATATTTGCTTAGGTCAAAAACAGCGAAAAAAGATCTGAGAAAGGTTGAAAATTTTAGATATTTTATCAATTTTCACTGTGCCAATTATTTCAGGGGGATGGCTTCTTATCTTCAACATCGTGTTCAACCACCAAGCCAACTTGCCAGTTAAGGAGGATTACCGAGTGATAGACAACTATCAAAATAACCAGACTTTATTGACTAACAGTGCGCTTCATAAGCTCAGAACCCACATTCATTTCACTCAGTTGAGATTTCACCGCCATAAGAAAAATGTAAGCAACTTCCATATAGTTACAAAGACCGATGAAAAAGGCGAAGCTGTAATCCAGTACTTCACAGGTCAAACTGAGACGGTGCCGACTTCTTGTGGATCATTTCAGAAAATGGAAGACGACGATTCAGAGCTCGCCAAGAGTTGCAGCTGGTGGGGAAAAAAAAATTCTGCATACAGGTCTGACACATGGGGCATCGTGGGGAGACGTGAGTTGTACGATGTTCCTATGTTTATTGGAGGATTACATCACTGGATGACAAGTCCAAAAGGAGACAGATGGGAATGTGATGACTTCCATGACCCGCAACACTCTCAGTTGCAAGCTCCCCCGACTCAGGGAGATTTCTGGAGGATTTTTATTCGTTGAACACCAACAATGTATGATCAACTGCATTGCACTAAATAAAAAGCATATGGAAAAGCTTTTTTATTTTATACATACTGGGATTTACAATATGAAGTACTATAGTTCGTGTCTGATTGGATGAACGATGTATTTTCACAGTAGCTCGCTTCCAATCTTTGCTATGAAATGTGAAAAATATCGGTATGTATGAAATAAAAACATCATATCATAGAAAGTACTTGAACGATTCTTGTCCACTCGTTTCGTGAATAAGAATCTTTTGTTCGCACTTCCCATGGAATAATCTCCAATATATTACGGTCGGTATTATGCCAGCGTAAGCCTATGTAGTTGCTGCTAACTTATTGAAATGAGTTGATACTGACATTTAGTGAACATAAGCATTTCATTGCTCTGTTCTGGATCTGACTTTAAATAGAAGGCAACATCGAGAAAACCATAGTGTAATTAGCCGAGACAAACCAGAGTGCACAATATTCATACAATCCCACGGATGAAAAAAATTTAGTTTAATGTAAAACTAAAATTATAGCATGTCGCTTCTAAACATAAATGAAATGTGATTGTGTAGTCTGATAGTCCGGGTGAGTGTGGTCTTGAGAAGCCTGCAGTCGATCGGTAGTTGAGACAACCTGAGCGGAGGTCATTATCGGTGTCAAGTAAATAGTTGTTGTCAGTGGAAGGTACTAAGTTGAGTTGGGTGACCTTCGTTTTTCACCACTGTCTTGCAATAAACATATCCGGATTCATGCATTTTTTACAATTTTCTACTGTCTTTTTCCTTTTGACAGTTCCAAGCAATTTAAGTTTCATCTCAATTTATGGTAGCTCTGAACCTGCGACTTCCTTTTTCTTAAAAAGTATGAAAAACGTTGCAAAAGGATTTATTCGTATTATTTACTGTAACTCTAAAACAAAAAGAAATGGGTCTCACCTAAAATGTTGCTGCACCCCCCCC